ACTCACCACCAACTCTTGGGCTACTCTTTAACCAATGAAAAGTAGGATTGACCATCACATTATAACACCACCATGGCTAAATGAATGAGCATGGTCAGTGTGATAGGGATTAGAACCCATGACTCGCATATTTCGAGTCGAGCCCCCTAACCACAAGACCAGACCAACTCAATAGCATGGCTAAATCTTGTCCAAATGAAGGATAAGTCACTCAAGGCAATAGAGATGGGTAATTAACTGGAGTAATCAAAATTATGATTAGATTGATTAATGTCATGAAAATAATTAACTAATTAAAATTATTCTTTCCTATTATTACAGCTTTCAGTTATAAGTATCCAAGTAGTTGAAATACTGCTATTACTATTTCTCAATATTGTTTTCAATTAATTCAAGGTTGTTCAGCAAAAATCGATTAGTGTTACAAAACATGAAAATAATCAACTAATCACAATTAGAGTTTCTAATTATTACTATTTTTCATTATTCCAACTTTCCAAGTTACATATGAGAATAACTGATTATCAAATTCCACTAACTTCCTAGCTCTAAAAGCCAATAGAATTTTAGGGTGTATTTATATATATATATATATATTGGTTACAAGTCAAAAGATGGTAATTATCTCTATATAGATCATTAGTTAGGCATCTCTCAGAACACTGTATACAGTTCAGGTCTTCTTACATAAGAAATAATATTTACTTACTGGAAAATACTGATGTATTGGAAAATGAAGGTTAAGAGTTGATCTTATTGAAATTTGCATGCTTACCTGGGGGGACTTATAGGATTAATTAAGGCCTCTGATTTCTTTGTGTTATATTCTGAAGATAACAGAATGAAAGGACAAAAGTTTAAGACAGGTTAGGCTCAAGTGAAACAAATTATATTTCTTTAACATGGTGATTGACTTATGCAATGAGTTGCCACAGGCAGTAGTGGAGGTCGGCACTTTAAAAGGGGAATCAATGATTTCCTGGAAATTAAAAGGTGGATTTAAACTTTTACTTTTCTCAAGGGTGGTTATGCATAAGGACCAAATAGTCCCATTTTGTCCATAGGTTATGTTATGTTTTGTATAAGAACAGTTACAAAAAGCTATTTCAACTTTACATATATTATGGAAAAGAATGTTTTAAAATAATTTTCTAAACAGAAATTAAAGATTATTTAAAAGACACATTTCTTTAAATCTCCTTGTGTAACTAATATGTAAAGCATTTCAAACAATAGGTAGTTTTATTACTTATTAAATAAGATGGGGTTTGGCAATAATCAACAGTGAACTTCTACCAGAACTCACTGATGAAGCTCCGTGAAACCTTTGTAAAGTTCAAGTGGTGTATCAATTCTTTTTTGGAAGCTAGTAACAAGTTCTGTTACCTTTTGTATTTCTTGGCTACTCACTTTAAATAATGCTTGAAGAAGACTGTTAATTGCATAAAACAAGTTACTTCATACACTATGAGGTTGGCTCTGGGTAAAGATGTGTACATGTACATCTACAAGGAGAATTTCACCTCTGGTAAGAATGTGAAGATACAAAGAGATACCAAAAATAATGATAACAGGAGTTTAACCAACTGATTAATCACTGCATTCTAATCATTATAAGTAAGAACAGCATATTAAATTAGTTTTATTCATTACTAGGTTAACTTTTAGTTTTGATTTACACATATATGTAGGTAGCTCACTTTGATCAGAAGTTAACTGTAATTAAAAATTCTTGGCAATGAGTTATAGATAAATAATAAAAAATTGTCAAAACATAATATTCAAACAAGATATATAATAATTAAAACCTTCCTCATTATGCCTTCTTATCATCCACATCTCTACATCATCATCATCTGCGATGTTTTTGCTATTTATCTCATCACTACTACAAAACCATTACTACTTATAATTGTTGAAGTTCACATGAAACTGAGTCATATGATGACATAGTAATCCAAATTAAAGGAAAAGAACTTTCATACATTATCCTGTATGTAAATGGACAACCAGGAACAAAATCAGCAATTTCATTTCTTTAATATGGTGTGCTTTTATAGATTTAAAATACCCAACATCTAGAAGTTGTAGTCAAGGAGTATTATGAAAGAGACAAAGAAAAAAACACCTTCTTATGAACTGAGTGAGCTCAAGGCTGATGTGTTTGCTGCATCCATAACAAACGTGGATTTGTCTTTGAGAGACAAGTTAATTTCACAAAGTGATTTCCAAACCAAACAAACATAGGCTCTTATCTTATTTTTTTTAGTATGTATGGGTAAATTTCACAAAGCAATTTTGAAACTAATCCATAAACTATGAATCCTTCTAACTTTTGTGAAATCATTCCACCCACATGGCTGAGATTATTTCTGTTAGCTCTCGATTCAGGTGTTCCTTTGAAAATAATGTAGGCTTATGAGAAGCTACCTATTGTTTAGCAGATGGCTAATATAAAAATGATTGCTTTATCACTCAACTCCACAGTGTGTGGATATAAATTATCTTTTCTTGCCAATTATTTATATTGAGACATTATACAAAGATATGCTACATTTACACAGATAAAAAATTATAGTAGGCTTACTTATTTAGTCTCTTTGTTCAATGTCCTCCAGTTGGACAGCAGTAAGTCTAGATTTACAATGCTAAAATCAGGGGTTTGATTCCCCTCAGTGAACACAGCAGATAGCCTGATATGGCTTTGCTATAAAAAATACACAATTTGTTCAAATATTTCCAACAAAACAACATATTGACTGACAACTGTAGGACAGAGATGTATAGCCCTGTGACTACAGAGAGATAGCGAACACCTTAGAGGCCACCTAGTAATGAAATTATACAGCCAATCCTTTCTAAATGTTGTATTTTGTGGTGAACTGTTTGGTTGAAGAGATGCAACATTTGATTTTCTTACTCTACTCATTCATGTACTCTTCATTCAAATGATGGATCCTAAAAAGTGGTAAATAAGTTTGTTTGTTTTTTCTTTCAGAAGATTTATCTTTTAAGGCTGTCTTGACATCTGTTATAAAGTTTTGTAAAGTTTAAGTCAGTACTTCTAATAAATATCCTTAATTGTACTTCATATATTTTCATTTGTCCATAGTATTCTGTTATCTTGTTCATGACATTTGAATTCTTTAATTTTTATCATACAAATTAATTAATTACACAAAAATTATTTTGGTTTAAAAACAATTTTGTTATTTTTTACTAAATATAAATAGACTTCTGTTATTTTTTGTCTATATTCATTCAATCCATATCTTTCCAATCCTTTACTGTGTTAAGATATTACTGTTTTTATCTAGTAAAAATGTACATCTGCAAGTATACTTATTCTTTACATGTACATAAACTTACACATCTTACTTTCATTTATTAAAAGTTTAAAAACACAGATGAACTTCTTTGTCAGAAATGAGATATTCTTAACATTTAAATAATAAAAAATGGAATATCGAGAGTTATAATATTCTTTAAAATTGACAATATTCTTAATATTTAATTAATAAAGAATGGAATATCCTGAGTAATAATATTCTTTAATATGGAGATGAACACAACTTAGTTTTACAACTTCAGTTGGCAATAAAATTACTCTCACTAAGTAAATTTGTACTTTTTCATAAAGTAAAAAGATATTCTTAACATTAATTAATAAAAAGCTGATCTTCCTGTGTAAAAGCATTCTTTAAGACTGAGATGAACAGCAAACACTTAGTTTTACAACTACAGTCAGTGATAAACTTACAGTGAGTAAAAATGTACTTTTTCTTAAAATAAAAAGGAGTACCAAAAATGTAATATATATATTAAAAATAACATCACCTCTAACAAATTAATATTTTGTTCATAGAATTACTGTCCAAATGTATGAAAAACCTCTAATTTTTAAGTAACATATTAAACTAACTTTATTAGATATATTGAAAATTTACTTATCACATCTAAGTCCATGGCACAATAATTACCTCCCTCACAACAATGTTTTTTGCACAAATAATACCCACTAATTCCATCTTTTTTTTATCATCAGCAAGGGATGTATTTGAAAAAAACAAAAAACAAGTTAATGTATCTGCTACTGCTCACATCTTTTCAATTCTTATAATGTGGTACCCTAAGCAATCACTACTTTTCAGCCAAATTGTTTATTAAAGAATAGGATGTCAGAAATCACATAACATACTCTGATCTCAAAAGTTTTCCAAAAGGCCAAAATTACAAATGCTACTTTGATGTAAAACTTATATATATATACAAATACACAATTGCATGATATAAATTATAATTCAAATTATAGGTTAAAGTTTTCATTATTTGAATTATAGTGTAATTTTTTACAAACATAGCATGAAGTTGAAACTTAGACTTTTCTGATGTTATGTTCTTCATAGTAATTATTTTAGACTACTGAATGCTGCAGCTTACAGTATACTTAATACCCATCGTCATTGCCTTGGTATTGGTAATAATAATATTACAAATATCAACTCATTATCATCAGGAATGGTTGGTCATTTTGTACAGTTGTAGTGTGCAAATCGTGGGGTGGCTAATTTTTATTTGTTTACATACTTGAATTAAACATTTTTCCCAGTATTTTTCTTTCACTGTTTTAGTGTTTCTGGTATGATAAATCCTGTGGATGTGCACTTGATAATTAATTAATATGCTATAAAAAAGAAGATTACTAACTACGTACTAGTACTACTGTAAATTGTAATCAATATCTCTGTCACTGCCTGTTACTCAGTAACAGTACTGAGTTGGTGTCAATGTGATAAGCATATATTTATTATTATAATATTTTATAGTATATCCATTACCATAGTATTACGATTACTATTACTACCTAACTAAATGATCACAATTCAAATTGATTGAATATTGACAACAGGTCTTGATTAGCCTAATCTGGTTGTTATAATTGCTACTTCAATTTACTTGTATTAATAATCTAATTCAATGGAATTTATTCAAAGACATACCTCATCATAAATAGTTCCACTTTCTTCGTTGCTAAATGATTTACTGGGAGAGTCAAGATTAAGATTTGACACAGCAACCGCCATCTTGATCACTAACGTCACGTGATTAATAATGCCTAGACGAATCACTTTGTAAACGAGCGCCGATTACCATGGTGATGCACTCATCTCGGAAATTTCTATTATATTTTTAGCAGTAGAAATAAGCCTTTCTGATATCGTACATTAATAAGTGTGAAGTACTTAAAAATTATTTAAAGAAGGAAATCCAACATGTAATGACTTTTCTTTTTGTAATATTAGCACAAAAGAATCTAGCGTTGTTCACTGAACTTTCACCATCCTAAGTTAGTAGAAAAATGCAAGGTCAACATGGTCACACAATATATGGGGATGAATGCCAAGAGGTCTAGTAAATATACATTAATTGAAACATAGTACTTCGATTGTTATGAGACTTTCCCTAATCTTCACACTCAAGTATTATAAAGCACTAGATTTACTGCACCAAGAGTTAAAATTAGTAAAAATCAAAAGTATTAGTGAGATTTTCTAGATTTTCATGTATATTTACGTGTCAAGTTTGTTAGTTTTTTAATTTACAAAACCAAAATTTTAGAAACATTCTGAATGTTAGTCTTGAGTCTTCGTTATTCATCATTATTATTAAGAAACCCAATATTAAAAGTAATATAGTAATTAAATCCTTATCCCTCCCCCGGTGGCTAAAAGGTAAGTCTGCTGGCTTAATTATAACACTAAAAATTGGGTTTTGATACTCGGGGTGGCCACAGCACAGATAACCCATTGTGTGGCTTTGGGATTAACAAGAAAGAAACAAATCCATTCTCACAAACATAAACATATATTTTTATCTGACATCAAAAGTAACAAACTGGAACTAAAATTAATCGGCCATGGCATTTTAATACAAACCAACTCACGATAAGGCAGTGGTGCCGATACTCATTATCACGGAAATAAAAACCATCTGTGGACTACATACTCTGAATGATTTCGTTTTTAATGTTATTGTTGTTTTATCTTGTAAGCACCAGTGTTTCTCCTGCAATGTGCACAATATATATATATATTGCTTTCTCGTGTTTGATTGCTACATGTGGTTTAATTTTGTGAGCCATTCCTAATTTTGAAGTGATAGAGTATAGAGAAGGCAGGAAGTCAACACTACCCACCGCTAATTCGTATGTTACTCCAGTCTAATATTGAGATTTAACCTATAAGTTAATGCACCCATCGCACCAAAGCGTAAAGTGCATTTCTAATTTATTTATTTTTGGGGGGGGCGGTAATATGGCACGAACCTCGGATCCACAGTCCGGCACGTAAATCCTTATTAATATTTTTGAATCTGTGACAGTGTACTGATTAGTTAAGATAATGGTGTTTTGTCTTTTCTGAATGACTTCTTGTATAGATATGCACTGCATTCTTTTTTCAGTTAAAGTTGGTGAGAGCGAAGGCTACTTATGTAATTATTTTATTTAACGTGGGTTTTTTTATGTAGTAAGTTATTTGAAATCTGCTATTTGATAAATCCATATAGATACGACAGACAAACCATAAGAAAGTGCTCCGTATTTATGTTTATTGTTTTGAGGACCGGCATACCAACCGTTGAGGGCACAAAGCCATAAGATGGCCAGTCCAGACCAGGACAACAGAAAATGTGATTCAACATGTATCACGTTTGGAGCCAGAGTGTGATATTTCAAAGCTATACTTTTCTCACGGTCGCTCAGTCCCCGTAAAAACGAGAGATTCGTGAATATCAAGTATAGAAGGACAGGTTTAGTGGAATAAAAAAGGAAAGGCACGGTACTGAAGTCAAAACAAGAATAGGGAACTTTATTTCTCAAAGTAAATGAGTGGTATGAGTGGTAGAATTATTGCAAATAAAGTTAATGTATGTAAATGATGAAAATTTGATAGCAGTACACACAATTAGCAGATAAATATATGACGAAAGATAGACAACAGTTATATAGCAAGCCTTGGCTTTTCCAGAAAAAATGAAATGAACTTCTCAAAAATCAGAGTAAATCTCTGAAAGCGCTAAAACTGCATACATAATACACATTCTCTCTCTGTGTAGCTGATCAATCGAAAAACAGGCACCAAAACGCGGAAGTATATCTTCTCCATATGTGACAGTCACAAGATATTCCAAATGCAAAATCAAGCAGGACAGGGTGCAACTATCTCATGAAACAGTGCATAACTTCCTTGACTGGTCAAGCTACAAAAAAGTAACATCTTAAGCTTAATTTTATACTCGATTTCAACGGAGTCAGTGTGTTTCAAAATTAGATCTTGAGTAAAAAATTTAAAAGTTGTTGTACTCAAAAAAATTTAATACATAGTACGGGATGGTAAGATATGCACAGGGCCGCATTAACCGTGGCGCCAAGGCCCCAAGCGGTGAGGAGCCCCTACTGACGATCCGGACCATCAGTTTAACTCTCTCTTTTTTCGATAAATCTTAATTTTTGTCTGTTGTTTATTTTATTCTTACTCGATACAGACTAGATCAATCTGACCGATCTCGCAACCACCATAAACAAATACAAAATAAATCAAAAATACCATTTTTTCTTTCCAGAATTACTTCAAATTGTAGCAGGAAACAACATTTCTTTACACTAAATAGTTTAAACTTCGTAACCTTATAAAACAGTTTATAATTAAATTTTATTGCCTTTTGGACCGTGATTTTTAAAATTCCTGCCATAAGAAGTGTCAAAATATGCGGTAACATGAAGCAAATGTTACACTAACCAAGTAATATAAAGCTCGTGCTACTCGTGAGCTGTTAGTCCTAGCGAGTGTACCTCGTAGAAACTTTTTATTATCATTTTATTTATTTATATTACCCAATTTAACCTTATCTAGCCTAAACGTTTCTGAGTTTTATATTTTTAGTTACTTTTACAATAATAAATAAAAAATAGATAAAAAAACAAGAAATATATCGCTCACCTGTGTAGCCGTTTTATCATTTTGCCGTCGACTGTCCTTCTATGCTAGCCCTAATATTTTACATCAATGCTACTTATCCACAAAATATTTTTTTAAGCAAATAATGCAGGGAATAATATAGAATAATTTCATGTGAACAGCTGAGAAACTGGTATTTCTGTGAGAAATTTTCTGCTCTCTAATCACGTGACTTAAGCGATTAGAAATTCAACTTTAGTTCCCACTATGTTCTCCTGGGGAAAAAAAAATTTCTCTTCAGCTAAATTGACAATTATATGTAACAGCACGTGGTATAAAACATATGTCAGTCAGTCATTGAAATCTAAGTTATCTATTGTTTATAAACGTAATTGGAGTCGGCCTTAGAAAAATCTATTAACAAATTGTAATTTACAGCAAGGTAGAGGTAGGCGTAGAGAGTGGGTCAAACTATATATTCATTTGATCTTTTAATGACTGTTCATCCGTTTATTTTAACTACTAAAAGTGCTTTGTACATAAGAAAGCCTTAAATTACAAAAGTTTATACAACTTCAACAAAAAGTAAATATAATTTTTAAAACTTAATGTATAAAGAGCTTTATTTTATAATATATTCTATAAATATATTTGCACTGCTTGCTAAACTGTTTTATTGACCTACCTAGTCAATAAATGACAACATAAAGTAATTAATATACCATTTGTCATGATATGATTATTAATTTTTTATAATTAAAGTGATTGAAAATTAAATTATTACCCCTAACTTTATGTAGAAAATAGAGATAAGAGCAACGAGGGGATGATATATTATTTTATTTTTGGAATATTTTTTCCAATGAAATTGTTAAATAACTGGAATCGGTGAACAA